GTCATATGACCACCAAGCCCCACCTACCCAGCTGGTCATTAGGGCAGAGAACTGGTTGGTAAATTATTTGAATCCCACCACTGCTCCAGGCCTTCCATCGTCTTAGTTGCTCTTCTTTGCACTTTTTCCTACGTCTCCTTAGGTTGGCGGCTCCCCAAGGAAGGGCCTTCTCTGCAGCTGCACCGGCCTTGTGGAACGAGCTCCCTGCGGAGATCCGGATCCTCATCACCCTCCCGGCCTTCCGTAAAGCGACCAAGACCTGGCTGTTCCGGCAGGCCTGGGGCTGTTGATTAACTTCCAGCCCCATTTGATGGAATGGATGTTGTTGATTTTAATTCCGTAATTTTAAATGTTTTAAATGCTTTTACTTGTTGTGAGCCACCCAGAGTCCCTAGGGAGTGGGCGGCATACAAATTCTATTAAAGTTTAAAGTTTAAGAATAGAATAGAATAGAATAGAACAGAAGGAAGGAGAATGGAATGGAATAAAATAGAATAGAATGTTGGAAGGGACATTGGTGGTCTTCTAGTCCAACCCCCTGCTCAGGAAGAAAACCCTGTACCATTTCAGACAAATGGTTGTCCAATCTCTTCCTAAAAACTTCCAGTGTTGGAGCATTCACAACTTCTGGAGGTAAGTTGTTCCACTGGTTAATTGTTCTAAGTTTCAGGAAATTCCTTCTTAGTTCTAGGTTGCTTCTCTCCTTGATTAGTTTCATTGCTCCTTATACCGCCATAGGGTGCTTTGCAGAATAGCTTGACTCTCTCTTCTTTGTGACAAACCTTGAGATTAGCTACATTTTTCTTAAGAAATGACATTATAATGAAAAATGAATAATAAACGCTAAACCCCTTTCTAGTATAACAGCATTTATCATTGTAAGTATTGTGATATAATTGGAGAATATGCTTACAGTTTACCTTTCACCAGCCTAATGTTATTCAATTGCATCATTTCAATATTTTGAAGGACAAATTTATTATAGGTACACCAAAGTTGGTGATCCTGTAAAAAAAAAAATGTTTTTTTCCAGTTCTTTTATGCCAAGAAATGAATAGCTCAATGAGTATCCCTGTTTGTTTTCTTTTAAAACCCAGGTTGGAAATTAAAAGATGCTCTCCCTCAACTTGTTTTGGATTATATGAAACATAAATTTAATACAGATGCATTAATATCTCATGTATTGCCTTTTGAGAAGATCAGTGAAGGATTTGAGCTTTTACTTTCTGGAAAAAGGTATGATTGTGTTGGCCCTTTATAGGCTGTCACATTTTATTTCTCTCATTTTGTCAGATCTATCTTCTAAAGATTTCATGCTGATACAGTTTCATCATTATAACTGATCTCTAAAGTACATGAGGCTAAGAAGTAGTTATGTCACAAGGATAACCTGTCATACCTATGGAAGAGAATATTTATAGAACAGGTTGAACAGTACAGTCCTTGGTGCTCTCTGAGTTTGAAAATTTTCTTGCAGACGTTTTATTACCAAACTAGGTGCCATCATCAGTACTAGCTCTGATTATATTATCTAGCTTGGTAATGTAACATCTGCAAAAAAAAACCACCAAGCTCAGAAAACACCAGGGATCCCATGATACCCTGTGAACCTCAGAAGGAAGTTCTGTAGGAATTTGAACACACCAGCATTGGGATTCCAAATCTTTTCCTACCGGTTCTATGAGAGCGTGCTTCGCAGGCGCGCAGCACTCAAAGACCGCCCTTGGTGTCAGCGCTGGTGAGCTGAACTGTTGTTTAGCTCAGCTGAGGTGCAGCAATCCGCTCTGCCGCGCAAATCAGCTGAGCAAAAAAAGTAGTGGTAGGTAACGGTGGGGGCGGGAGGGTAGGGACAACCAGGGGTGATATTTGCCGGTTCTCTGAACTACTCAAGATTTCTGCTACCGGTTCGCGAGAATCGGTCGAAACCGGCTGAATACCACCTCTGGAACACACAGGTTTTTGATCAAGAGATCAACGTCACTTTCCAGCCCAAAGAACATGAATTTCCACATACTTTGGAAATGTCAAGATTGGCTTTGGCCAAATTATACAAATAAAAAATAGAATCAATGGAAATTGTTCTTGTTATTGTACAAATTGTTGTACACTGCCTAGAGTAACTTTTTGTGTTTTTATACAAATTTGATTAAATAAATAAATATTCATTTTTATAATATTTATCTTTTAATGTGGATTTTTACAACTGTTGTTTTTATATTTGTTGTTACATTTGATTGTTGGATGCTGCTCAGAGTCACTTTTGGGAAGCTGGGTGGCTATACAAATTTGATTAATAAATATTCTTTTTTATATTTATCTTTTAGTATGGATTTTTATATTTTTATATCTGTTGTTTTTATGATTGTATAAACTATTGTTACATAATAGTCTAGAGTTGTTTTTTTGTGAGATGGGCAGCTATCTACATGTGATTGATTGATTGATTGATTGATTGATTGATGGAAATGGAGACAAAGTTATTGCACTATCATCTTAGTGTACATTAGCTATTGCTACAGACTCCAAATGTGTTAATCCTCCTCTTTTTTTTCTTTCAGCATTCGCTCCGTTTTGCTGTTTTAAAACTACAAATTTAACCTATCTCACAGTCTCTTTTGCAGTCTTGTGCAGTTTTAATAGCATCTCAATTAATACTATACAACCATTTAGTCTGTGCTGAAAACATTTATAATAAATTACATTGGTAAACACATATGGAAAGCTATTTAATTTATAAGTTGCTGTGGAAAAATGCTTTTGATAAGCTATTAAGGGCAATTGATCCTCCCCATCACCATTGCAGAGACCCATCCATCTTTCCACAGTATGCAAGATTGCCATTTGGCCAAATTCAATGAAAAAGCAAACATGAAATCTTGAATCTTAGATGGAAATGTCCTATTGTGTCAAACAAATGGAAACGTTAATTGTGTTATGTTGCAATAATAAATGGAATCAATTATAATCCTTTTTGAATAGTAGACTTGTACCTATTGCATTTTAGCTAACCATTATTAAACAAATGAGATTGCTTTTTGCTATGTTTGTAGCTAGCATGCCACCAAAATTGTCTGGAACAGATTTGATGACATATCTCAAACTTGTCTGAACTTTCTTTGTCAAATCCATTCTTGGGACAATACTCTTGTTAGGTCAACCCTACTTTGACTTTGTCCCCAAATCAGATATTTAAAGTTTAGATAATTTCCTTGAGGTGCTGCACTATCCTTCCATTTTTATAACTGGTTCTTCTCTTTTAGGATGATAAATGGTTTGAATTTAAAAGAAAACCTGTATGCCACCTTGAATTGTTTTATGATTAGGCATCTTATAAATTGAATGAATGTAGGAATGAAACAATAAAAGCAATATGTTTGCACCATTTCTGTGTTGCTTTCGGGGGTGAATTCCAGCAGATCCTGACAGGTTCTGGAGAACCGGTAGTGGAAATTTGGAGTAGTTCGGAGAACCGGCAAATGCCACCTCTGGCTGGCCCCAGAGTGGGGGGGGGGAATGGAGATTTTGCAGTATCATTTCCCTGGAATGAGGTGAGAATGGAGATTTTGCGGTATCCTTCCCCTGCCACATCCATCAAGCCACACCATGTCCACCAAGCCACGCCCACAGTACCGGTAGTAAAAAAATTGAATTTCACCACTGGTCGCTTTCGTTGGTCATAATAAAGGCATTGATAGATTATAGATTTTGCCATTTATTTCTTTTGTGGTCTAGCATAGTTGGGTTTTTTTTTCTGTCTCTGGATTAAATCATAAATCTAGAACCCCCAATACATGGAGTAGTACACTTTCTATTCTCTTTTGGAAAACCAACCTGCATGATCATTAGCAAGCAATTGGCAATAAGCAATAAAATATTCTCACCCCTGGTAGAGGAGGCCCTGCCAGAAGATCAGTTCTTTGCTAAAATATTACAGCCCTCGCCCTTCTGTCCCTAATAGATAAGGCTGATAATCAAGTATGCAAAACTTTCTAGCTAATGTATCTGCAATAGGAAGAGAGGAGGTAGCACATTCTAAGTAATCTGTTTAGAACAGGAAGAGGGAGACAGCCCTTTTTCCATGTTGTCCTCGTTCAGAGTGATACGTGTTCTTTGATAAGGCTATCGTGTGACCTTCTAGGAGTTTTAGGGCAAGGATCTGAGCCAAGAATGAGATGCCTAAAAGCAACATGAAGGTTTTTCAACAAAATTGGATTTCTGTGGCTAAAACCAGCTATTGTCCTACACCACCTTTCTACCCATCCTTTCTGCTTTCTTCCTCTTCTTTCTCTCTTTGGAACTGCTCTGCCTTTCTCTTCTTCTCTCACCTTCTCTTCCCTTTTCTCCTCTGCATGCCAGCCACTTACTTCGCTTCCCCTCACAGCTCTCCAAAATTCTCCACTTGCCACTTGGCTTTCTGCTGCTTTTCTCTCTACTTGTATCCAGATCTGGCACTCCTTTTCTATTCCTGATGTCGGAAGAAATATCCATCTGGATATTGGAAGACACTGGAAACATGGAGGCTGACTGGAAAGCTGGTCTAATAGAGCAGAACCATTTAGCAGATGGTCCTGGTGCAGCTGACCACATGGAGTGGAGGGTTATTTATACCTTCTCTTGGGCCTTTCCCTCGAGCTTCCTGTTCCTGTGGCAAGGGCATCTATTCTATTGGTGACTGTCAGACTCCCATAGGGCCATGTGGGGTCATGTTTGTCTGAATCAAGTTTGGTTGGAGCCTGGGCTGATGTAATGTCCTTAGGAGGTTTTGCAATGCAGTGAGCCCTGCTGCTAGATGGGGTAATCCTATTATGTCTTGAGGGATCTTAATCCCATCACCCTGGAGCTGAAGGTCTTTTGTTTTGTAGATAGGCTGGTCCAGTCCTTCTCAATGGGCACCAAATATCTGCCCAGGGCAGGGAGCTGGGGCTGAATTTCTGTATTTAGAAACATGTTTGTCCTTTAGGAAAAAATATAATATTCTGCCTTTTTAATAGTTCCTAAAATATTTCATTCTTCTAAGAGAGGTGCGTGCTAACTTTCTACGCCTACAAAACCTCCTAAATATATTTTTGCAGAACAGCAAGTAGAAAGCTCTTTGGTCCACAGTTTCTTTTCACATTTTTCCTCTTTTTCAACCTTCTCCTGCAGGGAGTTTCTAAGGCGGCCATTAAATCTTTATATTCTCTAATTTGACTTTTTTTTTAATGCTAATAGCTACACCCAACTGGAGGAAAGATCTCAAATCACACATATTAACAAGTTGTTGCCAAACAAGTTGATGCCAGAGTGATTTTTTTTTAAATGAATATACCTGGGGCGAGAGGAGAGATTACCTGAAAGGAATTTGCTCAACAATCTAAGCCGATAGAGGTAGATTCTTAACTGCAAAGCACTACATGTTCATTTCGACCCAGTTTTGGGTTTCAGCTTTCAGTTAGCAGGACACAACTGGCGGGGCTTGGAAATAAGTAATTCAATCCACCAATAGGATTTAATGTATTTGATTCTGTTCCAGATCTGGAATTTATTTACTCTTTGCAAGTATATGGAACTGGATATATGAGGAAGCTCTTTTTTCCCCCACTCTCCCCTCCATTGTCTGAAAACAATTCGTTCTCCTTCAATAGAGACAAACAAAGCTCTCATGCATGAGACAGTTGGCGTTTTCGCTGTCTTGGGAGCTTGGACTTCCTCCATTTCACATGGAATGGGCCTGATTCAGGTTATTACCAGTTGCAGGATGCATAAAATGAAACGACTTGCCTAGTATATAACCCCGTAAGGGAGGATCTGAGTTTAAACTGCCATATTAAGCTGCCATTGAGGGCCCGTATACTGCATGAGTCAAAAAGAGGGCTGTGAAAATATCTACAGACCCCTCATATCCTGGATATAAATAGTTTCAATTTCTAGCCTCAAAATGATAGGGCACTACACACCAGAACAACTAGACACAAGGACAACTCCACCCCCACCCCCACCCCCACCAACTAGTTGCTAAACAATTAATTCCCCCAACACTGTCAAACTATTTAGTAAGACTGTATTAATATTATTCTTCTCCTTTCCTATTACCTATCTCCTTTTCTACTTATGACTATAACTTTGTTACCTGTATCTTTATGATTTATATTGTTTTATTTAGTTTCCTAGTACGATTTACGTTGCTTCTATCACTAAGTATTGTATCTTATTATTTATAATGAATGTATTTTTATGATGATTATGGTCATGATTTATCTTTTATGTAGCTTTTATGTACAATGAGAGCTTCTGTACCGAAGACAAATTCCTTGTGTGTCCAAATACACTTGACCAATAAAGACTTCTATTCTAATTCTATTCTACATTATATCTACCCAAAATACTCATCTACACACACACACACACACACACACACACACACAAACATTTTTTTCTTAGAACTCAAAACTGTATAAAATTCAGATGCATAAACAGACACAAACACAAACACGCCATGCATGGGGATTTTAAATTGCCACTTCTTATCTTACATGACCATATGCCATGATCTCTTCTTAGTGGTATTCATTTACTAGTAGGTATATATCTGGAGAAGAACTAGACATGGCAGACTACTTCATATACCTTGGCCAATGGATCTCAATGGAAGGTGACATAATAAAGGAAATTGGATAGTGTGTTAAATAACAATAGTACTTAGACTTATATACTGCTTTACAGTGCTTTACATCCTTCTCTAAGTGGTTTACAGAGTCAGCATAATGCCCCCAACAATCTGGGTCCTCATTTTACCAACCTTGGAAGGATGGAAAGCTGACTCAACCTTGAGTCAGTGAGATTTGAACTGCCAAACATCTGGCAGCCGGCAGTCAGCAGAAGTAGCCTGCAGTACTGCATTCTAACCACTCCGCCACCATGGCTCTAAAATAAATGTGATTGGGAGGCATTCGGCAAGCTAAGCATAATTTTGAAGAACAATCTCCTTCTATGCCTGAAAAAACATATGCCAGTGAAACATGGATACTAACCTCACAATAGATACAAAAGCTACGAGTGGCGCAAAGATACATGCTCGGCATTACAAGACAAGATAGAAAAGCCTGCACGTGGATTAGAGAACAACTTGATAAAAAGCATCCCTGAAAAAGACCTAAAACAAGATGGATCCACGACATCAGCAAATATGGCGGGCCCAATTAGCAAAAGAAAGCTCAGGATCTTATTGGTTGGAAGCATGCAGAAGAGGCCTTCATCCTGCAGTGGATAGACAATGGCTAAAATGATGGTGATGATACAATAATTGAGAGTCCATTTGATATAGTGGTTAAGGCTTCAGGCTGGAAGCCAGGAGACTGTGAGTTCTAGACTGAGCTTTGGTCAGTCACTTTCTCTCAGCCCTCGGAAGGACGCAATGGCAAACTACTTCTGATAAACCTTGCTACAAAAACTGCAGAGACTTGTTCAGGCGGTTGTCAAGAAACTTTTAGGTTTTAATTCCAGGCATTGAAAACAGGTATATTCTGTATTTAGTGTGATACATTATCATAAATGGATATTTGCATTAAAACCAGGGGTGAAATAAACTTACCTTCACTACTGGTTCACAAATGTGAGCGCATGTGCAGTGTGTCACAAACAGGACATGATGACGTCCAGGCAGGTGGACAGAGCCTCCCACCGCCACCACTACTAGTTTGCCTGAACCGGTTGCAGTGGTGGGATTCAAATAATTTAACAACCGATTCTCTGCCCTAATGACCAGCAGGGTAGGTGGGGCTTGGTGATCATGTGACCATGTGGCGTAGCCAACTCAACATCACTCAGGTTGATGGGCGCTTCACCTTAGCTGTTACAATGTAATAAGGGTTAACCAGAGGCAGTTTCTCTAAACAGGGCAATAAAGATGAGGCTAGAAACAATATCAAAATGTTTCCTTCCTGCCTTCCTTACAGGATTAGCCCTGTAAAGTGGAAAAAAACAAAATGACATTTCTTCCAACAACCAGTTCTCTGAACTGCTTAGAAAGTTACCAACCGGTTCTCCCGAATAGGTGCGAACTGGCTGAATCCCACCACTGACTGGTTGGAACCAGATTAATTTCACCACTGCTTAAAACATTTCATACAAAACCTACCATTTGTAGCTTATTTTAATTTGGCTCTCACGAGCTTATTTAGCTGCTTCTTATGGCAGGACAGTCTTTTTACAACCACAACCTCTTGTTAATTGAATTATGAAACTTTATACAAAGTTTCTAATGTAAAATGTTTGGCTCAGCCAACAAGGAACTCATAGTCTAAATATTTAGTGAAATATCTTGATAGAGTGTTGTTTCCATCAAGGAGGAAAAATATGTTACATATGATCTTGCATTTTAAAGCCCTTTTATTCTTTGAA